ATAGATGCCTCATAGTGACCCTATGAATGAAAGACCTGAACACTTGTCTAGCTTTCACTGTTTCTCCAAGTTCATAGAGTTTCCGGAGGCACGCTATTTCAGAATTGAATGCCACGCCTGCTTCCAAGCTTGTTTTAATTGGGGAGCTCCACCAAACACTGTCCACTGTGGGTAAACGTATCACATTTGACACATCACTGTCACGGTGTTTAGCATCACAGCCACCACGAGTTACGTCTGTAGAGCAAAGGGACAGACCAGTGCTATACCACTTAGAAGAATGTTTGACCAAAACAATTAAAACCAGATGCCTTTTTAAATACGAGGCCAAATCAGATCAGCTCACACCCAGTTGCAAGCAGCAGACCGCACACTCAAGCATCTACCAAAATGGAAAACACACCTTTGTAGAATCTAGCTGCTCCACTCATCTTCCCGATATATTAATATACAGTCACATATATAAAGTATATACACACACAACTTGGAATCAACCCATAGCGCACCTGCCACTGGACTTCCTAGAGCTATAAATCACACAGGAGGAGACTGCTCCTCTTTCTTCCTTAGAGCAGTTGGTGGACTCGAACTTTCCACCTTGGGATTGGCAGCACAACTGAGTAGGCCACCAGACCTCCATACATATCATCTAGTGGGTGGAGATGACCCTCATCAATGTCTGTCTGCTGGAATTCCAGGTAAACCTATAATTAATGGATGGAAAGAGATAGGATTATAGACTATTAACCTTGTGATTAATTAGGAAATGCATGTGGAACAAATCAGTCATTCTCTCTTTATTCTTCCCCTGTGCTGAGCAATTAAGAAGCTGGAGAATGAACTGAATTACTGATGGGGTTGCAGAAGCAGGGAAGTGTCTAAGGAGCTAATGACCCCCAGTTAGATCAACAAGTCCATGAACATGGAGACAAACGAGCCTCACATCTTATCTGACTCCAGATCCCAATCCTGTGACAAATAGGTAACACAACCTACCATGCTGAAAGCCAAGAGGACTTGAAGCATTTAGTGATGAAGGGCTTCAGTACTGATTATAGGTCAGCATTCAAAAAAATTACAAATATTCTGGAAGATAGCTTGGCATTTACTCAAAAAGCTGGATATAGAAAGTCCATATGACTCAACTATTTCACTGTTTGGAATATGCCCCAAGAAAATTAGAACTGAAACAAATAGGGATATTTGTACACCAATGTTCATAGCAGCATTATTTACCATCGCAAGAACACGGAAACAGCCCAAATGTCCAACCACAACTGAAGGCCTTGAGAAATGGTGGTACAGTCACATGATGAAATACTAAGCAGCTTGTAAGAGCAATGACTTTGAAAATCATTACCCACCTTGAGAGGGACTGGAGAGCATCATGCTAAGTGAACTCAGTCCCATAAGGGACTGTCTAAAACCATTATTGTAGCAATAAAAAGAAAACTAGTAAATGAGTATAAGGATCCAAGGTGGGGAGAGTAGGAGCAGAGCTGCGAGGATGGAAATGGGGGTAATCAGAGGGTCACACTATTTGATGGGTAGAGGGAGGAGTGGGTAAAAAAAAAAAAAAAGGAAAAGAGCCAGTGTTCAAAACAACGTATACAAACTTTGTAAGCAAACCAGTATACAATAAAATTTTTATTTAAGAAAAAAGCAAACAAACTCCCAAAAAAACATTAAGAAAACAAAAATCCTGACAAATGGACCATGGGCAAAATCATCAGAAGTGGAGAAAAACATTATTTCATTTTACTTGGCTCCATAATCAACACCTATGTGAAGTAACTGTCAAGAACTCCAATAATGTATTGCAAAGGGAAAATCAGCTGCAAAGTTCTGATGTCACTTTAAGAGTATCTGGGCCCAACTCAGGTCATGGTATTTTCAATTGCTTTCTATGCACATGAAAGCTGGCCAGTGATTAAGACAGACTCGATGTGTCTGAACTGTGTTTTTGGCAAAGAATACTGAATACTGCATGGATAGTCAACTGTTTAACAAAACAAATCTGTCTCGGAAGAAATGAAGCTAGAAGGCTCCTCAGAAGCACGCCTGTGACACTTTGTCTCACGTACTTTGGACACGTCATTATGAGGAGCTAGTGTCTGGAAGAGGACGTTATCCTTGATAAAGGAGAGGGCCAGAGTAAGAGAAGAAAATCCTCCATCAGGTGGACGGACACAGTGGCTCCAACCACAGCCTCAGAGATGAGGAGTCTGAACTGACTGGACAGCACCTCACAGTAACCATCACCTCATCCAAAACCCCACAGAGTTAATGCTAGAAATCGATTTTGCTGCTGTTGTTATGCGAGGTCGAGTCACTTGTGTCTCAGAATGACTGTGTATAACAGTTCTGAACCCTGTTCTATCCTGAGCCAACCTTATTGTCTTGGACACACCTACCCCCATTACCCCAGTCACTGAGTCAATCCATCTCATCCAGGGTCTTCCTCTCCTGTGCTGTCCCTCCACCCTTCCAAGCAGGACGTGCCTCTCTAAGGACTGGTTCCTTCTTTCAACATGTCCAAAGTATGTCAAATGGAGCTTCAGAATCCTTGCCTCCAAAGAGCAGCCTGGTTTCACTTCTCCAGGACAAACTTGTTTGTTCTCCTAGTAGTCCATGGTATATTCAGTACTTTTCTCCAGCACCACAGCTCAAAGGCATCAATTCTCCTATCATTCCTAGTCATTGTCCAACTCTCTGATGCATAGCAAGAAATACTACATAAATAAAATATAAAACTGCCTATGTAATACACACATATGTATAGATACTGGTGTCCTAGTGGCAAGAAACTCTTTTTCAATCCCAGAGGGATGTAGTACAAGGCCACCAGTTGCTTCACAGGAGAAGGATGGGCAATCTCTTCCTGTACGACTAACTGCCTCTAAAAACCCACTGGAGGGCCAGCTACGAGTTGGTTCTGACTCAATGGTACACAGCAACAACAACATCATCATCAAGAAGAGAAGATCTTCACCCTGAAACCCACAGCGTCCCTTTTCAGCAGGAAGTAGCTAAGAGAATACGCCGTCCCCTTTTCCTTATGACTCAGGGTGAAGTCTCTCTCAGGGAGGAGTGATAGGGAATGGCAAAGGACACACTGACAAAGAAGATTAATCAGAACTGGCTTTGACAAGCACTGTGGCATTTGGACAAGAACAAACTGGGAGGAGGGTAGAGAGAATAGTGCAACAATGAATGAGTGGAAGCCCAAAATCTCTGTAAATGTTTATGAAAATTAATAAAATATAATTATAGAAAAAAAAAATAAGAGTATCTGGAGTATCAGATCATATACATGTATAAATATATGAGCCCTGGCAGTAAGGAGCTGCACTGCTCCCTCAAAGGCAGGTGGTTCAAATCCACCAGCTGCTCCACAGGAGGATGAGCAATCTTTTCCTATGTAATTTACCGTCTCTGAAAACATACTGGAGGGTCAGCTATGAGTCGGTCCTGATACAGAATAACACCAACAAAAATGTGTGTGTGTGTGTATATATATATACACACACACACATATACACACATATACACACATATACACACACATATACACAGACATATACACAGACTTATATATACACACATATACACACACATATACACACACATTTATATATATACACACACATATACACAGACTTATACACACACGACTTATATATACACACATATACACACACATATACACACACACACACACATATACACAGACTTATATATACACACACATTTATATATACACATACATTCATATATATACACATATAGACACACACATTTACATATACACACATATATACACACACATTTATATATACACATACATTTATATATATACACACATATACACACACATTTATATATACACATACATTTATATATACACACATAAACACACACATTTATATATACACATACATTTATATATATACACATATAGACACACACATTTACATATACACACATTTATATAGACACACACATTTACATATACACACACTTATATATACACACACATTTATATACACACATATACACACTTTATATATATACTCATACACACACACAAATACACACACACACACACACACACACATACACATATATCCCCCACCCCAGACACATGTATGCATAAAAAATTCTGTAGAAACCTTTTTCATTTGTTTCTGCTTGGTAATCAGACATTGCTGTTAGTTGCTGTGAAGTGGAGTCTTACCCACAGAGATCCACGTGTGCAGAGTACAACCACTGCATAGGACCCCCAAAGCTGTGGTGTTTCAGAAACAGATCTTCAGGCCTAACTTTTAAGGTACCTCTGGCTGGGTTTGAATTGCCAACCTCTCAGCTGGTAGTTGACGACTTACTCATTTGCACCACCCAGGGATTTCCTTAATTAGGTACATAAAGTTTCAAACTTTTAAAATAAGAAGGAAAATTCTAAGTTTATATGAGAATATTACGCATAAATTGACATTCCAGGGACGTAATGGTGATGACCATTACACTGACCGTTTTCTGAGTAATCGTAATGTGGCTCTAGCTGTGTAATCTCATATTCAGTTATTATCTTCATTTCATAGATGAGATGAGGAACCCAAATCTAGAGAGTTTAAGCAACTTTCCCAGCCAGGGTCACGAGCTCAGAGGTGGTGGAACCGAAATCCAAATTTCTGCTTGTTCAATTCCAGATGTTGTAATATAGCTGCTCTTTAAAACATTTTACAATAGTTATTAATTATCTGTGTTATTTTGCAAGCAGTTTTGTTTAGAAATAATACGCCCTAGAAATAATTCCTTCTAATCCACCATTCATCGCAGACCAATCACTCTTAAGATTTTGGTGCATTTTAATTGTCTTTTTTCCCTGTTTATGCAAATTTTATGTTCTGAGATTATGTCTTTTCTTAAAAGAACGCCCAAAACAAGAACAGCAAATACAAGGGCCCGTATGGAGACTCTGCTTTCATGTGAAGAAGGATTTATCTTGCTTTATCCTGACTTTTTATTGATGGACTTAAAGGCTGGTGCCTGGTGAGCAGAACATCGCCGGCCGTTGTCTGTGTTGTCTGTAGGTCTGAGCCCTCCTTTCTCTCTGGACTCTGGGGGTGTGCCTGGGCCACCTCGTTTATGTCTGTTTCTGATAAGTGAACTTCAGTTTCTATTAGCTCTTGGGGATTCTGAAGGCAGAGATGGGGTGAGGTCACGCTGTTTTGTGCTGAGTCTTCTTTCTCTGTCTTGTCGGGCTTTTCGGAGGAGCGTGACCCTGGAGGATTTGGTAATACCTCTGCTCCCTTAGGAACTATTGGCCTAGTCCCCGGTTTTATTTCTTTCTGCACAAACGCTCCCTGTCGCTGGAAAAGAAAACAAAGTTGACATAAACTGGGCAGCACAAGCTTCGGGGAGATGGGGCCAGGATCGGAGGTCATGTAGGAGCCCCAGGGCTGGGGGTGTAGGCGCTGACTGGTCTCCTCAGTCACTGTCTCCCTGGGCCCAAACAGACAGGAGTGTGATCACCTCAAATGACTCATAACAAAGGGTGCAGCATAGAAGGAGCTGAGAGGGAAATGCAGAGAGTCCAAGGAAAAACATCTCATCGCCTGCCCTCCGCTCCCCTGTTACTTGGGTTGTGTAAGACTACTACTCCTATCAGGTTTCATTTCTTGCACCATAGGTTATTACGGATACAAGAGAAATCACAGTTTCTAGACCTGAAGATGGATGATTGCATCCCTGATGTCTGTTAGTTCCAACAAAAGGCTTAGTTAGCATAGAATATGAAAGGAAACATCTGCAGCTGGACAAACCCCAGTGACTGTGAGCATTTCTGATTGACTGACAAGTTCTGTGTGTATCCTTCCCATTCACACACATCAGGCTTACCAGAGTGTCTGTCAAAATGTTTGGGCATGGGCAGAGTTCAATGTTGATTAATTTTATAAAAATATAATTAATCAGAACGATTTGAAGAAACACAATGTGAGTGAAGGATAGTATAAAACACAATGCATACAAACATTGTAAGAAAACCCATACAAAAGAAAAAAATTTAAGTATTTGGCATGACCTTAAATGAATGATTTCAATTTAAGACAACCAGAATCCAAAGACTGTTATTCAAAATTACAACATCACTGAAGTTTGCACTATGGCGGAGATTCTATCCTACTAATAACCACTGGTTTTTAAAACCAGACTTTTAGAAAGATGACTATAACTTGAATTACTTATGTTCAACCGCAGATCTATCTTGCGCTAAAATACTAAATAAGTGATTTGAAACATCGTCTTACCTTCCCTTGGACGGGCTCATTGGGCGTTTTCCTGGCATCATATTGATGTATAAAGGAGATGCGTTCTATAAAATTGCTCTGAAGTTCTGCTGATGCATTAGGAAAGGCAAGTGGAACTGGGGGAAAATTTTATGAAGTCAGGCAAAAGTTTAGATTTTTATATAAAAAAGATAATCATTCATAATATTTATGCTTTATTAAAATATTAATAAAACTAAATCTTGAACTTAATCAACTTAAGATTAAATATGAGTAATTCAACATTATTTACTCATGAAAAGAACCAAATAAATGTGATCAGATAAGTTCCATGTGTGGTAACACCCAAACACATTCCCAAAAACCCAAAACTCAGTGCCATCAAGTCAGAGCCATCTCAGAGCTGACACTCCAGCAGGTTTTCAGAGGCTGTAAATGACACCAGAGGAGACTGACCATCTTTCTCCTGCTGAGCAGCTGGTACAATCTGACCACATGCCTTTGTGTTGGCAGTGAAATACCTTACCCACTAGGCCATCAGTGCTCCCTAGGAATGCTAGCAATTTTACAAACCAGTAACACTGCTTTTGATTAGATCTTTAAAAAGTAAACATTCCTTTTTAATTGTTGCTGTTGTTATGTGCTGTCGAGCTACTTAAAACTCACATTGACCCTATGTACAAAACAGCCCTGAAAGCTGCTCTATCCTGTGCCAACTTTACTGTCTCTGACACACCCACCCTAGTCACTGTATCAATTCATCTCATCGATGGTCTCCCTCTCTTTGTCTGACCTTCCACCCTTCCAAGCATGATGTCCCTCTCCAAGGACAGATCCCTCCTTGCAACATGCCCAAAGTATGTGAAATGAAGCATCAGAATCCTTGCCTCCAAGGAGCAGCCTGGCTTCACCCTCTCTAGGATGAACCTGTTTTTTCTCCTAGTCATTCATGGTATATTCAATACTCTTCTCTAGCACCACAGCTCAAGGGCATCAATTATCCTTCTATCAGCCCTAGTCATTGTCCAGCTCTTTGATGCATAGCAAGCAATTGCGAAGACTATGGCCTCATTCAGGCACATCTTAGTCTCCAGCCTGGCAGCACTGCTCTTCAGTACTCTGGAGAGGTCACAGACAGCTGACTTTCCCAGTGCAATTTGTCTACTGATTTCCTGGTTGCTGGTACCAAGAGTGTTGACCGTGGAGCCAAGTGAACTAAAACTGTGAACAATCTCAATCTCTTCATCATTTATCATAATACTGACAATTGGCCCAGTGGTGAGAATCTTCGTTTTCTTGATGTTGAGCTTCAATCCATATTAAAGGCTACAGTCCTTGATCTTCTGCAGTAAGCGCCTCAGGTACTGCTTAGATAGGATTCTTACTCACACACTACCCAAAATTTTAGGAAAAGCATAAGTACTATCCATTATTTGACAACTTATCCTAGTAGTGAAAGAGGAATCAAAGATAATACACTCAAAATGTTCCCAGCATGTACCTACAGAAGGATCTGGACAGCTCTAGGGCAACCACAACTGTCGTCTAACACAGTCTTTCCTTTTTCTTTTCAACCAGTGAAAGAGATCTCCACAATTAGCATTAATTTATAAAACTCTTAAAATAATTTTTAAAAATCTACAAGTCTGGGTGATGAGTGTATAGGTTTTCATTGGGCTGGTCACTCTATTGCATGCATGCTTAATATTTTAAAAATATTTTAAAGTTTGGTTTCAGCAGAAAAGGTTACATAAGTAATCAGAACAATTCTCAGCACTCTTGACAATCAAAATAATTTATTTGGACAAGACTCTAACAATGAAAAAAAAGGATGTATCTCTTTAAGATTAAAAAAAAAAAGATGTCTTCCTAGTACATCTATGGACCACCCACCTATCATCTGGTGGCTTTCTGTTGCTATGATATTGGGAGGGATGCAACCAGCATTTCAAGTATTAGGAGGACACCACCAGTGGTGGACAGGATGCATGAAGCTTTCGGCTAAGAAACACTGGGAAGTGTGTTCACAGGAAAGCCAGAAAAACCTTCACAATTGAACCAATAAACTAGATTATGACAAAGAGAAAAAAAGAGCAAAATGGTCAAAGATTTCATTTCACTTGGATCTGTAATCAATGTCCATGGAAATTGCAATCAAGGAATCGGTATGTTACACTGGGCAAATCTGCAACAAAAAACCGCTTTAAAGTGCAAAAGAGGAAGCTGGAAATCTGTATGTTAAGGAGCACTTGAAACAACCCACAGTGTTTGCAATTACCCCATATTCAGGTAAAAGTTCCACAATGAATAAGGAAGATTAAGGAAGAACTGATGACAGAAAGGTTAAAAAAAGAAAAGTAAGGAGACAATTGTGGGGAAAGTACTAGAAGAAAACTTTCATGATAGCATGAAAAACTAGGAAAATTATACAGTCAAGAAGCCCAGTGAATTCCCAAGAGACTAGGCCTCAAAAGGAAAAAAACACCAAGACACTTATCATTGTCAAGTTCTCCAAAATCAAATGAGAAAAATAGAGTCTCTGCAAAGGAGACTCCATCAGATTAAGCTCTGACTTCTCCGCAGAAATTATGCGAGAAAGAAGATAGCGGGATGGTATATTAGGACCACATATTAGGACATAAAGCAAGCCTCACCAAATTAAAAAAATGCTGGAAGTATCTTCTCAGACCAGAGTACCATAAAGTTAGAAATGAACAAGAGGTTATGGGAGAAAGGCTCTCATGCGGAAGCTAAATAACATCTTATTCCAGCACAACTGGGCTACAGAATAAAACTGAAGTTTAAATATTCCTCAAAATGAATGAAAATTAAAATACAGCATACTGAAACCTCTGAGCACCGCTAAGGCAATCCTAAGAGGTCAGTTCAGAGCAATAAGCAAGAACAACAAAACAAAACCCAACAAAAAAGAAACAAAAAAGGAGTGAAATAAAATAGAAAATAGAAAAAGAACAATAAGTAAGTCTTACAGTCTCTAGAAGAAAGGAAATTATAAGGATAAGGACTAAAACCAGTACAACAGAAAAAAGAAAAATTAATGAAATCATCAACAAAACCAAGAACTGGCTCTTCGAAAGGGTTCTTTGAAGTAGGAAAAAAAGGAAAAAAACACAAATAAGGAAATGAAAGAGATGGAATTGCAAACTCAAAGAAAAGGTACAAATAACGCAAATAAAGAAGTGACATCACAAAATAACCAGTCAAAATTAAATATAATATTGGATTATTATTACTCTGATGAATTTGAAAACCTATAGGAAATGGACAAATTCCTAGAATCCCACACTGTCCCTGAAGTGACACAGACAGAAGCTGAACACTTGAACATGGTGACCAAGAGAGTAGGAAGGTAATCTTCACTTTTATAGAGAGAAATGACCAGATTTTATAGCTATTAAAACAAGACATAAGTACTGTGTTCATTTATGCAAACAGACGAGGCTTTTAAGGAAATCTAGTCGTGAAACAATGAATGGAAGTGGGCAAACACCAAAGAAGATATTCAAGTTCTTAGTGAGGACCCTGCTTGCAAATTCGAACTGGACCCAATGTAATTATTTGAAAGAAGCCTTGTTAGAAGTACCCAAAAAAGAATTCAAAGTCCAGGAAGAATGTTTGAAGTCCACTCTCTGTTTCTTAGAAACTTGATCTAATTAAAGTAAGAATTCACTAAACAACTTGGTGTTTCAAACCAAGAAAAAAAGGGTTTCAGATACCAACTTGAGAATTCTTATTTTAATTAGATCGTGCTTTGCCATCCATATTTTACCCAAAAGGCAGGAGTTATTAAAATCTAAAACTCACTCCTCATACTAATGGGTATTTAGCATCTTTTGAGAAATTTTACCTAATTTTTATTTGGGGCTGCTTAAAAAAATACTCAATAATAATAATTTTCTATTACAAACTCCATGCATTTTGATAATAGTTGGATTTTATGGACTAAAGATTATCAATATAATAATAGTATAGAATTTAAAAGTAAAGTGGAAAAATAAAAATAAATTTGAGAATAGCTATAACAAGATACCACTGCTATGGTAGCAAGATACTCTTTCAAAGCTGTACAAAGTAAAACATAATTTTTTTCCTTTTTTAATTTTTTTAATTTTTTCCCTTTTTAAAACTATTTCTTTATTTGAGTGATAGTTATGAATCATAGTGCCTTCTCACTCATATACATTTTATAAAATCTATTTTAGAAATTCAGTTCTACCACTGTATCTTGAATTTGCAATTCAAAATAACTTTTTAAAATATCAAGCAGTTGTTAAACAGCCCAAGCTTAAGTATGGAATTCATCACAAATTAAATCAGCCTCTCCAGTAAGTTTTTTTATAAAATGAAAAGGGAACTCTTATTTTTATGGTGACCCAGATATGGAACACAGCTATCTGTTGAACTGATGGTGGACGGTGGCCAGGAAACTGCGTGGTGGTTCAGGACATAAAGGGTACTTTCATTGTCAGCACAAGATAACATTGCTGAAATGCCACAGGAGAGGCGTAACCCAGTGGGCTGATGGAACACAGTGGTCATGGGAAGTCTTTTAACTGGTGTTAACACATGTCTACATACAAATGTATCTGTCCTAATATGCATATACATATCTAAAATCGACCATATGCAGACTCCTTGTGTGCTGTCAGTCAATTCTGACTCGTGGTGGCCCTCCGTGACTGCGTAAAACTGCTCCATAAGGTTTCCTACGCAGACCTCGATGGGAGCACATACCAGAAATTTCTACTTGAAGCTGCTGATCAAACCTCTGACCTTTAGATTCAACCAAGTGCTTAACCATCGTGGCAGATGGGTGCTTTAGAGGCCAAATGCACATGTACAGGAGCTCTGTTGGCCTAATGGGTAGGGAACTACGCTGCTGACCCGAAGGTGGACCTTTCTGGCAGTTCGAATCCACCGGCTTCTCTGCAGGAGAAAGATAGACAATCTCCTCCTGCAGGATTTACAGTCTCTGAAAAGCTGCTGGAAGGTCAGCCATGAACTGCTTCTGATTTGATGGAAATGAGGGGTTGTTTTATTCAGACATTTTTACATTCAAATATTTTCATTCTTTTTCTCATTCTCATCTAGTTCCCGAACACTGTATGGAACTGAT